CAAAAACAGGAGGGGAGCAAAAAAAAACCCAGGGAGCCAAGCACTGTCCTTAATTAGTTCATCCAAAGGGCATCGGGAACAGAAGTGTTTTCACCTCCAGAAGACCAGAAGAGAGTGCCCCAACCTCACCTGTTGGAGAAAGGAGTTTCACAAAGTAGGGGGCAGCTGCTGAGAAGGCCCTGCCAAGTCTGTCTCAGTTTGCAAGGCTTTAGGGAAATCTTTAGCGTTTATCCTGCTCCAGCAGTCTTTGTAGCTTGGCACTGTCAGCTCTGACTGGCAGTGGCTCTCCGTGAGGTAAAGGAAGGCCTTTCCCAGCCACTGCTACCTTCCGATCCCTTAGCTGGAGGTGCCAGGGATTTAGATCTGAAGACCTCAAGTGTGCCAGGCAGTGGTCTGTGGCACAGCCACGGCCTCTCTAAAGTTCTTATTCCAGACCTGAGAGAGATTTAAAAAAACAACCCTATAAGACACAGAAAAGAACAAAAGCACAAGAACGTACTAAAGGGAGTGAGAAATGGAATCACAGTGCAAGTCCATAATTTTGTTTAACAAGGCAAGTTACAAATATTATGAAGGGTAGCTAGCAAACCAGGTTAGGTCAATGTCATCAGGTCTTGGAAGCTAAGCAGGGTCGGCCCTGGTTAGTACTTGAATGGGAGACCACCATGGAAGTCAAGGGTCGCTATGCAGAGGCAGGCAACGGGAAGCCGCCTCTGTTCACCTCTTTGCCTTGATAACCCTATGGGATTGCCATAATTTGGCTGTCTCTTGCCAGCACTTTCCGCCACCAGTCACCAAACACCCTTTCTTATTCCAGACTCAACATTATGGACTTGGGTTCCCCACATGATCTCCCATCCAGGCACCAACCAGACCCACTCCCGCTTAGCTTCCACAGGGTTGTGGTGTCCTGTGCCCTTCAGTCCATAGCCCAAGGTAGAAACGGTGGAGCCACTGAACGTTTTGTCCAACAGGTATCATTGGTGGATTGACCAGTGTGATCACCTCGACGGTAGAAGGCGTAAAAACCGAAGGGGGCGTCAGCGGCTTTATATCTGGCTTCGGAAAAGGACTAGTTGGAACTGTAACCAAACCAGTGGCAGGCGCTCTGGATTTCGCTTCTGAAACTGCTCAGGCAGTGAGAGATACAGCCACTCTGACTGGCCCCAGGTTAGTTAAACCACTACATTTCTGTATGTGTATTTAATCATTTCTTTATGTGTATTTAAATATGTGGACTCCGTCTCATGAAGCTCTTCCCATGCAGATTATCCAAAAGTTTTGGATCAGATCAGTATCAGTGCAAATTTAGAACGCCTTGAGCTTTATGCAGATGAGGCAGGACCTCTCTTAGAATCCTGGGTGCCACTGCAGTTTGCAAAGCAAGATAGAAGGGTGGGTAGAATGCCTTGGCTTTAAAAGGTTGTATCCTGCCAGCTTGTTCACAGGACAGAGGAGGGGGGAATTACACGCACAAAGGTTCTATAGGATGCAGTGAGGAGGGGAAACAGGAAAGATGGAACAGAAAAGCCGGTAGGATCCAGTCTGAAGATGCAGTTCTGTAATCACACTGCTGGTGGCTCAGAGGCCCAGGACCGTGTTGTGGGCATATGTGCTCCTGCTTCCCTCCTCTCCTGTCAAACATACGTTTTCCCCTCCACTTTTCTCTAGCCACAGGTATAGTTTGGTTTTTTTTCAAACCACTGTTTGGAGCCAGCACAAACCCTACTTTGCTGACTTGAGTTAGAGAATACCAGGAAACGGGGAGAGCTTTTGGCTCACTCGGAGAGCCTCTGCTTTGCACGCAGAAGGTCCTAGGTTCAGTCCCCACAATGGAAATCCTAGAGAGCTGCTGGCAGTCTGGATAGACAATACTGACCTTGATGGACCAGTGGTCTAATTCAGTGTCAGGCAGCCTGTTGTGTGTTCAAATGGAGGAGGAACCGTATGGATGCAAGCAGAGGGGAGCTTATGAGCCCACGCCATGTCTCAGAGCTTTCAGACCATGGTTTGGAGGATCCCATCTGTGACCTCTGAACTGAGTCAATGCCTCAAAACCCTAAGAACGTACATTAAAAATTCAGAGACGCCCTGACCTGGATAGCCCAGGCAAGCCGGATCTCGTCAGATCTCAGAAGCCAAATACTGGGTGGGAGACCTCCAAAGAATACCAGGGCCGGGAGGCAGAGGCAGGCTAGCAAGCCACTTCTCTGAATGTCCTCCATGCCCCAGTAGGAGTTGCCAGAGGTTGCCATGACTTCCAGGCACGGGCGCGCGCATACACACAGAAACACAAAATGCAAAAATACCCCTCCAAAAAATTCAGAGACAGACTTCTTTATTGCAATAGTTACAATGGAGTAAGGTGCCCATGGCAGTTCCATAATCGTTCTCCTTGGGAAATGTTGGGCAGGTGCCTGTCAGATGCTTGGAGAACTGGGTCTGCTTAAAAGGAGATGGACTGTGCATTAGCCATGTGGTGGGGCTAGATTACCTAATGGATACTTTCTGATTGTATTGTTCTTCTTAGTGTTCCTAGTAGCATAATGTGGCCTCTGGACATTTAACTGTTGCCAACCTGATCAGTGCTTATGCAGAGGACAAAAAGATCAAGTTAGCTAGTTGTACTTAGGATCATAGAATCATAGAGTTGGAAGAGATCTCCAGGGCCGTCTAGTCCAACCCCCTGCACAGTGCAGGAAATTCACAAGTACTTCCCCCTCCACACCCCCGGTGACCCCTGCTCCTTGCCCAGGAGATGGCAAAAAACCCTCTAGGATCTCCAGCCAAACTGGCCTGGAGAAAAATTGCTTCCTGACCCCGAAGTGGCGATCAGCATTTCCCTGGGCGTGTAAGAAAGGGCCACAAGAGCTGAACCCTTCCTGCCCTCCCTCTCATGATCTGCCTAAGTCCACAGGACCAGCATTGCTGTCAGATGGCCATCTAGCCTCTGCTTAAAAACCTCCAAAGGAGAGCCCAACACCTCCCAAGGAAACCTGTTCCACTGAGGAACCACTCTAACTGTTTTAATTTCAACCCACTGGTTCCGGTCCAACCTTCTGGGGCAACAGCAAACAACTCCACACCATCCTCTATATGACAGCCCTTCAAGTACTTGAAGATAGTTACCATACCACCTCTCAGTCATCTCCTCTCCAGGCTAAACATACCCAGCTCCTTCAACTTTTCCTCATAGGACTCAGTTTCCAGACCTCTCACCACCTTCATTGCCCTCCTGGGCATGTTCCAGCTTGTCTGTATCCTTCCTAAATTGTGGTACCCAAAACTGAACACAATACTCTAGGTGAGGTCTAACCAGAGCAGAGTAAAGCGACACCATCACTTTGAGTGATAGGGACAATTGCTCAGGTGTACGTAGAGGTGTATTTGCCACCCAGATCAGCAGCTTGGTGTCAGGTCTGGATAGAGTTATCTTTGCAAGTTCTCTGACCTGTACCCTTTTCTTTAATGGGCAAAAAGTAGGATTGAGCCCATAGGGCCATTCTGTTACTTTGTTGTTGTTTTTAATATGCTGTTGTTATCTGCACCCATCCGCCCCATTTGCATTGCTGATGGTGATTCTTTTTGCTGCTTTTTTTTGCCATTTTCACTCGACGTGACTCCATTACTGACACAAAATAACGTTGAGAATACATTGATTGTAAGGGGAAAGGACTTGGCATGAGACAAGAGAAGCGGTTACAAAAAAAAATAAACTTCCTGATTCTGTCCCAGGAGGGAGAAAAGAAATTGACATTGGGGGGTGGGGGGCGGTATGCAGATGGAACCGGGGACAGCTTGCAAAATTCGGTCTCACGCCGAGTAAAGAGGCCCATGGAAATAACCGCTCAGGGTATTTTTAAAGAAAGACGACAGCATATAATTAGAAGTCGATGGGAACGGTGCGAGAAAACATTTCTGTAGACGGTGCTCCGTTTCGCCCCATCTGCATGATATTCTTTCTGTCGCGCTTGTTTCCTTATGGTCCGATGGGTGGTTTTGGAACAGAATGAAAACGCTGTTCCAAATATAGCTTCTTTTTGGCTTGGGCTGCATCATCTGTACTGTACGTGTGTTGAGCCATGAACCCTCCTGTAAGCTGAAATGCACAGAAACAAAACCTCCTACTGCAGATGGTTAAGATTCTGAGGGGGGTGGGCAGGACAGGTCAGAGTGACGTTCCCAAAGCCTTCTGCTGTAGTCCCAGGTATCCACTCCACCCGTTGTGACTTGCTTTCCGTTCCGCGTCCCACGTGGCTTGCAGTAGAGACAGACTCCGAAACACGGCATGGAGACTCGTATCCTGAGAATCCCGCCTTCCTTTCTCTAAAGCACTTTACTAACACCCCGAGGACGCCGGACCTGGATGGCCCAGGCTAGCCCGATCTCGTCAGATCTCGGAAGCTAAGCAGGGTCGGCCCTGGTTAGTATTTGGATGGGAGACCTCCAAGGAATACCAGGGTCACGACTCAGAGGAAGGCAATGGCAAACCTCCTCTGAATATCTCTTGCTTTAAAAAAACCCACAGTGACTTGACGGCCAAAAAAAACGGGTGCTGGAAAAGGTCTCAGTACTCAGAGGAGGCTGGACAGGCCTGCCTCCCAGCTGCTAGAGGAGGCAGGAGTTCAGTCCCCTTGAAGGTTACTGGTCTTCAGCTTGGGAGCGATCAGTTAGCAGTGGGGGTAGCTTGAGAGAACTGCTTTGTCCTGGTGGCTTCTCTATCGAATTTGCTTCTAATGGTGTGTCGGGCAGTGGGTATCTGCTTTGAAAGAGAACACGGAAGGCTTGGTTGAATCTGATAGGGGACACAGTCAACACAGCCTTTGTAATGCTCAGTTTTCAAAGAGGCTAACAGAGGGAGAAAATCCCCAGTGATGAGATTCTGTAGTTAAGGCTCTGCATCTGAACGTGGGTCCTCCGATTCTGAACCCTCGGCTGGATTCTGGCACGCAGTTGCTCTCCCTCATGGTTACTGTAGGCTTGGGTTTATCTCATGAATGGAATCCGTTGGAGGTTCTGAGACCCTTAAGTCTTCGTGGCAGACATCCTGTCTCTCTCACCTCGACTCTGGGCAGGAGACTCAGCTAACTGTAGCTTGTCTGAGGCGACCGGTACTCATGCAAGCCAGCAATGTTGCATGCAAGTGACTCTTATGTAGACCCAGTCATCACACTGACCAGAGTTGAAGGGATGCTGCTAGGACCTCCGGGGACCCTGTGATAGGATGGAGCCATGCCAGGCATTCTGCCTTAATGTCTTCCCTTGCTGCAAATATGGTGTTTGCTGCTCTGTCTCTGCACTGAGGGGGGTGGGGGTGTCCCCTCACCTACATCTCTTGGCCTGACCTAGCTACTTGTAATCTTTCTACCGTAGCCAGTTTCATTCTGCAAGGCTCCTGGTTCTCCAAATGCACATTCAGGCAGGCAACGCTCAGGCGGGGGACTTGGAACAAAATCGGCTTCTGCTCAGATTGATCCGTACGCCCTGGTCTCCGCTTCACAATTTCACTTCCTGGCAATTCCTTGCCCTTCTCTGCTCAGCTCCGATCTGGTGGGAAACGCATCCACACTTCTAATGATGTGTCGGGCAGTGGGGGTCTGCTCAATTGAAGTGTGAAATTCCCATGGCCTCCCTAAAGAACAGCGGATGCAGGGCCTGGAGGGCACCTTAAAATTCTTTTTACATCCACTGCGGGTAGAGAATTGCAGTCCTTTTATGCCTCGAGCTTTCCCCATGGCTGGGAGCTACAGCCCCCCCCCCCCCCCCGCCCCCCAACGGGAAAACAAAACCCAGTGTTGTAAATGTCTTTTCCTTCTGTTGGCTGAACTCTGAATACTCCCTAGCACTCAAAAGCCCAGAACAATCCCATTTCTCATTCTAGTGTGACTTATGTAAGGCTCTTACCAGAACTTGAGAAATGAAAGAAATCAATTTCTCCCCCCCCCCCCTTTGAATAGTAAGGAGGGCGCATGAGTCACTTTCTGTTCGACTCTTGGATGCACATTTCTTAGTCCTGGTAGATTTGCTCGCTGGAACGGCAGCATTCCCCGCTTGCCATTTTGGCACCAGAGCGCCGCGATGGGTTTTGTGGAACGCAATCAAATGGAAATCTTGAACAAGTAGAAAGCTGGGGAATTTAAAAAAAAAATGGATTCTTTTTCAAGAACACT